GGGGGGAGGGGGGATGGGGCGTGTGTCGTTTCTTCTACTGCTCATTGATTGATTGATATAGAGATGCGAAAAGCAAGAGGCCTCCCTCGGTCACTCACCTACATTCACGACGATGCCTGCACACATGCATGGATCCGTCCGTGTGTGTGAGGGAGGCCAGGAGACTGAATGGAATGGTGCATGTGCATGTGTGTTGTGTCTGTCGAGTGGTGGTTGAGTGTTGTTCTATCTGCCATGGACTCAGCAGTTTCTCGGATGCAGCAATGGCTGGCAGAGACCATTCATCCCTCGCTGAATCGACTAATACAGTTCGATGCCGTCGACACTCGCAGCCACCCACGCAAAGTGAATCCACACACATGCCAATCACGACCGTCGATCCACTGTACATGACACACTGCATTCATTCCATCAAGCAGTAGCTACAATCCTACCTACGCCCCGCTCCCCCCTGGCATCTGCAGCGGCTCCAAGCTCTTCAGCGAAGCGCTCCGAGACCCCTGGCCCGTCTCACCACCCGGCAGCACACTCTGGCTGTGGGACGGCAGGTGTGAGGCCGCCACGGACGACTGTGGTGTGACCGAGAATGAAAGCGATGTGCGAGAGGGCATGTGGTGGTCAGATGGGTCGGGGGAGGGCACGTTGATGCGCATGCCGACCGCTGATGAGGGGGGCTGCCGTGTCAGGGTGGGGGTGGGGGTGGACGGGCTGGGCTGGGTGACGTCAAAGCTCTCCAGAAGAGAACGGGCCTTGGACGAGGGAAAGTCTGATCACACACACACACACACACAGAGAGAGAGAGAAAAAGAGAGATAAAGCAGAATTCGTTGTTGAGGGAAGACGGTGGGTGGGCTATGTATGCTGGTGTGAGTTGCTCAGCGAATTGTGACCATAGTAGCAGTCAAAGGGCGTGCAGACGCCCTCCTCAACCTATTCCATCATCATTGTACACCTCAGCCTCCCTGCTCCCCTCTCCCTGCTTACATCTGAGTGCTGCAGATGACGGCAGTGGCGGCGGCTCCACCCGGTGGCCAATGTCAGGCTTGGCCAGCGGCCGCACCTCCACACCGCCTACCTTCTCGGGCAGCAGCACCGGCCCACGCTCCACCTCGCCCTCATCCTCGTCTATCAGGGCCTCATCTACATGCTCATCCTCATCAGGCCCAGGAGGACCTCCAGCAGCTATGTCGAGCCTGCATAATACAAGGAGATATTGGCTTGGCTTGTGTGTGGGTGTGGGTGTGGGTGTGGGTGTCGGTGTGTGGGCGATTACTTGATGTCAACGAGGAAGTTCTTCATCTGGCGTAGCTCGTTGTCCCACACCTTGAGGTGCTCCTGCAGGCCCCGCGACCGGTCGCCCACCGCCCTCACCGACATCGACGGCAGCGCCACGCCACCTTCACCCTGACCAACACACAGACAGTGCCAATCGAGAAATCATCCTCCTTCATGTGGCTCACTCACTCACTCACCTCGCCGGTCTTGCCCTCATTCTCGCGGCTGGTCGCCGAGGCCACCAGGTGCGTCCCAGGTGATGTCGTGGGCCGTGTGGGGGCCGTTGTGTCCATCCCCCTGCCCTCGTCTGTCCTCTCGCCCTTGGTGCCCGCCTCGGTCAGGGGCAGCAGGGGGACGGCTGGCGGCGAGGGCCGCGACTTGGATGGCTTTGCGAGGTGCACGGCGTTGGCGAAGTCCACCCACCGCTGCTGCTGGCGGTGCTCGTCGAGCCGGAACAAGTCGCTTTTTCGCTTCTCTAGGTCTATGTGGAGGCCGCGCAGAGTCGCCAGGCGGTCGGAATAGTCCTGCTCACCCTGCACAGACAGGAGAGGGACATCAGACACCGACCGATCCACCCATTTCAGCTCAGCTGGTGGTGAGGAGTGAGGGGCGTTCTTGCCTCTTTGATTTGGTTTTTGAGGTTGTAGACGCGCCGTGCCTCTGTCTTCATGTCGAGGTACATGCCGACGAGCTCCTGGCTCTTCTGCTGCACCTCGAGCGCCACGGCCGCCACGCGCTTCTTCATGGCGTGGACACGCTGACGCTCCTCGTCTATCTGCGCACGCTCCCCCGCAAAGCGCTGCGTCAGTGGAGGCAACCAACAGACAAGCCCGGGTGGGTGGATTGTGTGTTGTAAGTGGCGGCGTGTTGTGTTGTGTGGTGTTGTGTCAAGTGTACCAGCTGTGCGCTCTCGACGTCCTCCTTGCCCCTGGCGGCCAGGCGGAGATCCTGCACCAACTTACGCCTGCACATAGGCATGCAGACAAGGGACGGTGTGTGCAGAGGGAGCCTGAATGTGTTGTGTGTGTGTGTGTGTGTGTGTGTCCATTCGCTCACTTTTCTTCAGCGACGTGGCTTTCAGCCTCGCGAATTCTCCTTTCTGCCTTGAGCACGGAGTCCTCAGCGGCCTGCTGCTGTGCCTTGAGGGTCTCGGCCCACTGACGCAGCCGCTTCTCGCGCTCGTCCAACTCGTCACGCACCTAAACACACACATACACGCACGCATGACATGTGAGGGAGGGGGCGGTTGAGTGTATTGTCGTCTGGCAGAGTGAATGACCTTGTCTAGTTGGGTGGCGGCGTGCTGTCGCTGTCGTTCGAGATCAGTGCGCTGCAGGTTGAGCTCCCGCTCCACCTCCTCGTACTTGGACCGGGTCTTGTCCTCCTCGCCCTGGTGCGCCGCTGACAAGGCCTCCAGACGCAACATCTCGCGACGCACCCTTGATCCACCCACACGCACACACAACTGTCGGCCGGCTGTTTGCTACCCTCCCTCTCTCGGCCTGCCTACCTCTCTTGGTCTCGTTGTGCGGTGTGGTCCAGTTCCTGGCGCTGTCTGTTGATGTCGTCCTGGAGTGTCTTGAGCCGCTGCTCGTGGTCGTCCAGGTCACGCTGCCGCTGATGCAGCTTCTTCTCCATATCCTTGAGCTCCGCGTGTCGGGCCTCCAGCTGTCACACAGACAAGACGCATTGGCAACATCCTGTTTGTGTGTGCTGAGCCGTACCTCTTTTGCGCGTCGGGTTTCCTCGAGTGTCTTGTCGGCCTGCAGGCGGACGTTCCACTCCTCCACGTGACGCGTAGACGACTGACACAGACAGACAGACAGACACAGACAGGCACAGAGAGGCCCGTGTGAGTGCATCAGTCATTCTGTCTGGACGTGACATGCACTTAGGGGTGGAGGCTGTGCTGTGCTGTGCTATGGGCGTGTCCCTCAGCCAAACCCCTCAGTTGTCGGCACGTGGTCCAAAACGGACCGATCCGAAATCGTTCGTCAATCGGTATCGTCATCAGACCCGCCACACACACTCCCTCCCTCCCTCCCTCCATGCCTCGCCCACCTGGACTTTGTCTGCGAGTGAGGCGACGGTGGCCTGGTCGTGCAGCTGTTTCCTCAGTCGCCGCACCTGCTCCTCGTATGTGTCCTTGGCCTCGCCCAGCTTGCGGTCGAACTCCTGGTGGTACCGGCGAGTGGCGGCCTGGTGTGCGGCGTCTCGATCCTCCATGAGTGCGTGGTGCTTGCGGCGCTCCTCCTCGCGCACCTTGTCCCTCTCGGCGTCGAGCACCTGCTGCTGGTTGGCCTTGGCGCCCTCCAACAGACGCAACTCCTCATCCTGAGATGACTTCAGCCTGTGCAGACAGACACACGATGCCATGCGATGCGATGTGGTGTGGTTGAGGTGAAGGGGGTCAGTGGCCCATTCACCGTCTGTTTTCCTCCTCGAGCCTCCTGACGGCGATCTCCAGCCGGTCCTTCTCCAAACTCCACTCGGTCCGCTCGGCCGCCAGCCGCCGCTGCCATGTCGACTCGAGCAGCTCCATCTCGAGTCGCTTTTTCTTGTACGCACCATCCAGCTCACCAGACAGTCGCACCTTCTCGCTGCGCAGCTGCTCCAGCAACGACGACATGTGCGGCGCGGCTGCTAGTGGTGGGCTGGCGGCCGTCGTCACGTCGGGGCGGTGCGCGCCCGGAGGTGAGAGTGAGGGGGGCCCACCCCGGCCGCTGTCTGCCTCGGTCTGGAGTGGCATCGGTGGGATGCCGTGGAGCGCCAGATGGTCGGGAGCGGTCACGGGGCGGTGCGAGGGGTCCGCGAGTCCCAGTGCGACATCGAGTTTGTCATCAGACGGACCGACGGACGGCAAGGGGTCCCCGGGCGGAGACCCCGATAGACCAGACCGCTTCTGCACCAAGGAATGAACACGTCACCGCAGCAAAAGTGATCCTCTCTCTCTCATGGCGACGCTTATCTGATCCTACCGTGCTGAGTGGTACGCGTCGGCGCGTCCTTTGCCCTCCCGATGGAGCCCCCTCTCCTCCCCCTGCGGCTGGCTGCCCCGACACTCCACCTGCGATGGGGGCCGCTGGGGGTGGCGGGGGTGGTGCGGCTTTGCCCCCCGTGTCATCGATCGAGAAGATGGGCAGCGACATGTCCTCAGCGGCCGCACCTGGGGCACTCGCCAACGGACGCTTCGGTGCCGGGGAAGGATCTACACACACACCATCACAAGCGGCCAAACCTCGTTGGTGTGGAAAGCCGTATCGTCCTGTTCTCTTTCTTCTCTTTCTTACCAGCTGGGAGGCCAACGTCGGCAGCCTTATCCGTGGGTGGCGGAGCAGCGGCAGCCTTGGCAGCGGGAGGCTTCCTCGGTTCTACAGCAGCTGCAGGGGCCGACACGCCACCAGCTGGACGGGACGGGGCCGTGTCCGGCCCACCACCTTTGGGGACGTCCCCCCTGTTGCCCTTGTCATCGGTCAGCCCCTTCTCCACCACCGATATGGCCTGCAGCAGCTCGTCAGCAAGGGGCTCTTTGGCCGCCGGCGATGGCGATGGCGACAGCGAGGCTGACGCGCCCTTTGGGGGTGTGGCTGGCGGGGGCGGGGTGGCTTTGGGTGGGGGGGTGGGGAGGTCCTCGTCGTCGAGGCCGAGGTTCTTCTTCAACTCCTCGTCCTTGCGACGCTTCTCGGCCTCCTCTTCAGAACAAACAACACAAGGGTGCATGTGTGTCGTCGTGTTAAAGAGCCATGCATAAATTGATACCTTTGGCCCTTATTTCGGCTTCCAGGCGTGCGTTCTCCTCGCGGAGCCGACGCTCCTCCTCCTCGTCCTGGCAGTCGAGTCAGAGAGTGAGCACTGCATGCAGGGCAGGGACATTATCTGGTAAGGTGTGGTGGCTGACCCAGTCATCTTTCTGGTGCTGCGCCATAAGCTCGTTGAGGGGATCTGGCCCGACCACCTGCTTGGGGACCTGCTGCCTCTCGGACACCGACTTCTGAACAGACAGCATGCACCACACGACACGGAAGTGCTTCCAAACGCAGCCATGTGTTTCTTGTGTTGCATGGCTTATGGCTTATGGCTTACGGGTGCCACAGGCTTCAGGCTCATCCCAAGGTTTCGAAGGGCCTTGCGCTGCTCATCCTCACGGCCCGCACCGCCGCTCTTCATCACGCACCTCACTCACACAAACAATCTTCACAGACTTCTTTCAACCGCCGTCAGCTATGATCTTCACACTATTCCTCGACGCACACATGTTCACGGACAAGCGAAGAACGGCGTCACCGCGATCGTCGCCAGCCAAATGCGAGCTTCATTCGGTAAGAATGAGTGTCGAGGCAGCATTCGTCGACCAGGACATCGAGGATGACTTCGCCTTTGCCGATCTGGACCACACATCCGCCGCTGCCCGGTACAGAGACCTCCCGAAGGCCGATGAGGGCAGGCCGGGCCGTGGGAGGGTGCTGGAGCTGCCCGAGCGGTATCGCGGGCAGCGGGTGACCCGGGCTGACCTGCAGAAGGAGCGAGATCGCCAGTTTGCCGCGCCGTTTGACGACGAGGAGGATGAGGAAAGCGACGATGCTCCAAGCGAGGAAGGAGAGGAGGGAGACGAGCAGATGGACGAGGAGCAAGATGGTGGTTTCCCCTCTGTGGACCTGAGCGGCCTGCATGTGTCCCTTGACCCATCCCTCGAGGACAAGACGCGGCGCATCGAGGCCAGCAGGCAGAAGGAGGCTCTACAATTCGTCAAGCAGCGGCGGCAGACGGCCGAGCAGGAGTACACCAAGGCCAAGCATGTGCAGACACAGCAGGGGCTCTGGAAGGAGGTCGTCCACTGCCGGGTGGCCCTCCAGGGCATCCTCTCGCAGGCCAACCAGCTGCCTGTGGGTGTGCGTGAGGGGAGGGGCAACAGGGTGGTGCGTGCGATGGATTGCGCTGCTCTCGAGGTGGCTGAGGTGCTGGTGGGGCTGCTGGAGCTACAGAGCAAACTCGCCAAACTCCACCCAGAGGTGCCGATGGCGCACACACACACACACACACGCACACACGCACACACGCACACACGAGAGATTCATTATGTGTTTATATCTGACTGCAGCTCCACGAGGCCCTCCAAGTCCTCAATGACGGTCAAGAGGATGGCGGCCCCTCCAATGATTCAGATGCTCCCAAGTCACTCCGGAAGCGGCAGTGGTCGTCCAGTGCTGCTGCCGATGAGCGGTCGCTGTGGTGTGGTGAGGCCGGCGTCGAGCGGCAGGCCAAGCGGGTGCGCACCTGGGCGCTGCACAAGGCCGACCAGTGGAAAAAAGAAACCACTCTTCAGGTGGGGAGAGAGAGAGAGAGAGAGAGTGAGACCAACCCACACCCCACCCAAAAAGCGTGTGAGTTGGTGTGTGGTGGTGGTGCGGCAGGTATCCCACAGCTTCAAGGCTTTTGACCAGCCACTGGCAGTGCAGCTGCGGCACGCTGAGAAGGTGAGGAAGCGGAAAAACAGAAGTGCGATGTCATGATGTTCCCCGTCTCGTCTTGTGTCAGGACCTGGATCGTCTGATCGCCCGCAGCCGCCCCGCTGAGAGCGCCATCAAGGTGCTGGCCACTTCTGCTGCCGACAACGACCCGTCAGAGGCCGCACACCACATCTATGACGACCAAGTAAAGGGACAACACACTCACTGACTCGCCGCCCATGTTAATCAATCATTGTGTGTTTGTGTGTGACTCATCGATGGTTCGTTCCATCAGGACTTCTACGTGCAGCTGCTGCGTGACATTGTGCAGTCGCGTGACGTCACGTCGCCCTTCCAGCACGACAGTGACGACGCCCCGGACCGCCGCGAGCTGCTCAACCAGCTGGGGGCCTCCAGCTCGCTCGCGGCCAAGCTCAAGCGAAGAGGTCAGTGAATGAATGGTGGTTCGCTCGCTCGTCGGGGCATTGTGTTCCTCTGTGGGTCCCAATGTGTGTTTGTTGGTTCAGAGAGCGCGGCCAAGCGCAAGGAGGTCGACAGGCGGGCGTCAAAGGGCCGCAAGATCAGATATGTGCCCATACCCAAACTGGCAAACTTCATGGTCAGCCAGACCCCACACAGGCGCACACACACGATGAGCCTTGTGGCGCGGCTCGTGTGTTCAGGCGCCCGAGCCGCGGCGGCCGCCCGACGGTGCCCTGTATGACGCGGGCTTCGTTGACCGGATCATGAACTCGCTCTTCCAAGACACTTGCAAGACATGAAGTGGACGGACCCCACCCCCGTGCATCGATAAGAGGGCGACAGAGCTAATGGTGTGATGCAATGCGGTGCGATGTGGTGTATCTTCCTTTGTTGTCGGTATGTATTGTGTGTGGGCTGACTGACTCGAGAGCTGGCATCACTCTGGTCAGGCCTGGCTGGCGGGCTCCGCAGTTAGTCGGGGGTGCGCTTATGCGCTGCTGACTTACTGCGTAGCTGGCTCTCTAGGATGACCGAGTGATGACGGATTATTCATGAGACAGAGACACAGTGTGTGTCATTCATGTCAAGGCAACGCAACGCCGCTCAGAAAAAGCGACAGAAGCACACCGACCGACGGACAGACTAAATCTTAAGGTGCCTTCATCAAGCTAGGTGGCGACTTGTTCCCTGATCCAGCTGCCGAACTCCTTCATCCAAGACTCACGCACATCCGTATCTGACCACACACACACACGCCCCAGCCGCAGAAAATGTCAGATGAGTTGGCTGGCGGCCATTCATGGTGCCTTTCTTCCCTCACCCACCTGCCACTTTGAGCGCGGCCTTGTAGAGCTCCGACGGATCGTACTTGACACCTACACAACACACACACACATATGACCCATATACCGCGAGTGTGTGTGCTACCCACCCTGTAAGGACGTGGTGAGCAGGTCGATTAGGGGTGCGTCGAGGCAGTCCGAAAAAATGCGGCACTGCGAAACCACGCCGCCCTTGACATCCAAATGAACCGTCTGATCGAATCGACACACACAAACACACACAGCGAGCGACACTTCTGCACTGTCTGTCTCAAGTCCGTCGGCCGGCGGTGAGTAAGTGACAAGGCTTACGAAAGTGCCCCAGTCGAATCGCGTCTCGAGCTCGTGCGAGAACTGAGGTGAGCTCCCAAACCGCCACTCCCAATCCTACACCGACACACACAGAGCAGGTTTTAGTGCACCCAGACGCCTCTTCCTGTGTGTGTGTGTGTACCTGCAGTCGACTGAGGTGTTTCTGGAAAACTTGGGACTGTGTGAGCGGCGAGGTACTGGTCACCTCCTCGGCCTGGATGCTGTCGGGGTCGGCGCCGTAGGACCTGGCGAACTCCGCTATCAAGGCGTCGCACACCTGATCAGCACGTGGGGATACACATACGCCACACACATCCGTAAACAGAGAGTATCTCTGGCTCTGTGTGTGTCTGTGTGTGTGTACGGTTTGGTGGTTGATTTCAGGGTTGAGGTCCCGCAGATTGCACACCCGGGCCGCCACACTGGCCACACCCTTGCTCTGCACATACCAACCAACCGCAGCGTGTAGGATAGGCCGTCCATTGGTGTGTGTGCGTATAAGCGCTGCGTGCTATGCTATGGTACCTACCTGCAGCTTGAGCTTGTGTGGTGTGAGGTAGCGCCCGAGGCCATCGAGATCCACGTGGAGCAGCAAAGTGCCTGCATTACACACCACAAGGAATAATCTCGTCCATCTGTTCTCCCTCCCTCCCTCCTTCACTCGCTCGGCTTTTCGTACCGTGGTGGAGGTCTACAGGCCCCAGCTGCTTGAACGCGGCACCCGAAAACTGCTCTAACCACAACACACCAACACACACACACACACACGCAGTCACTCACACAGCCATCCCCTCCGTCCACCCCCTCCAGCAACGCACCTTCTTGCCATCGACCACCAGATCATTGCGGCCTGACGCCTCGCCCTGGGTGCCTTACCAACACAAACACAAACACACACCCTCCCTCGTCAGTCGACAGCTGTTCTTCTGCGTGTCTGTCTGTCGTGGCTCACCGAATCTGTTTTTGAGAGCGTTCAGTATGATGGCGTTGTTGCGTGCCTTGTCGAAAGTGCCGCCCGGACTGAGGAAGGTGAAACACGTGTTGCCAAGATCCTGCAGGCACAACACATTGACGCATGCATTCACCGTCCCATGAGTGAGTGAGTGGATGTGTCTGTCGATTGATGCTGTCCTGTCACATTCACCTGATAGACGGCCCCTCCCCCGCTGTCGCGCCTGGACAGCTGCACCCCGTCCCTGTCCATTTTCTGCACATCGCACTCCCGCCACACATTCTGGTGCCGCCCGATGACTATCGTCTTGTCGTTGCGCCACAGAAAGAGTGTCGGCTGCCGCGGCTGCCGCTCCTCTATCAAGAACAGCTCCGTCGCCAGGTGGAAGTGGTTGCTCAGCTCACGCCCAAGCAGCACGTTCACGGGCCCGACGGCAGATGTCGACGAGGCGGCGCAGCGGCGTGCAGATCTGAGGGCTGCGCTGCGGGCAGACAAGCGAGTCGCTGTCCGTCGGAGGATCATGAGTCCGATAGGTCTGCGAGTGATGGCGGCACTCTTAGCAGCCGTGACGCCAGATCAGCCACTTGGGGGGTAAGCTTGCGACGACGATCTGCGAGCTAAGCGTCCAAAAAGGTTGAAGGTGAGATGGAGGCTGATCAGAGCCGCGTAGGGCAGCTACAGATGGTGCCATAGCCGGCTTGAACCGCAGACGTCAAGAGCCGCACAACACACATGGCGTTCGTCGACTGGGAGGCGGGCAGCTACGCCCTGGTGCAGTGGTGCTGCAAGTGAGCAGACAACGACACACACAAACACAAAGGCAAACAGAGAGAGAGGAGCAAGCTCATCTGGTGTGTGTTTTATCTTATGTCGGTGTGTCTGTCTGTGTGTGTGTCAGAGTGATCCTGCATGTGTTCTTTCGGGAGGTGGATGTGGTGGGCCTGGAGCGAATCCCGCTCTATGGACCGGTGAGATCAACACATGAGTCCACAGTGACAACGGACGGCACTGGGGCGGCGCGGCACACAGCTGGGGCCGTCTGTGTGAATGTGTGGCTGTGATATGTGCAGGTGATCTTTGTGGGCAACCACTCGAATCAGTTCGTTGACGGGGCCATGTTGATTGGCAAGATGCCCCGCGACGTATCCTTTCTCGTGGCCGCAAAGGTCACTCACTCACTCAGTCACTCACTCGGAAGCGGACACTGCAGGGTGGACGGACGGCTGCACCACACGTACGTGTGTTTGTGTGATTGTGTAGTCGTTTCACCGTCCGGTGATAGGCATGCTGTGCAAGGGTGCCGGGTGCATCCCCGTCAAGAGGCCTCAGGACCTCACATTCAAAGGCAAAGGTAGGGAACCATAAACAACACATCAGACCAAACCAGACCCCGATTGATTGACGGATAGGAATGGCCTGGGTGTGTGGGTGTGTGGGTGTGTTGGAATGTGTCTGTCTGTCTGTCTGTCTGTCTGAATCAATGAATCAGGGAAGCTCATTCTCACGCCGGGTGACAAGACCGTCAAGGTCAGCCGCCCAACCCCACAAGGCGCACATGCCTTCAGCACGCCGCCATGGTGTGGGTGGCTTGATGGATGGATGGTGTCGTTGGTGCAGGGTGAGGAGACTGCCTTTCGTCTGGACTTCAAGCCGGGCGACAAGGTGTCGCCCATGAAGCCCGACGGCAAGACCAGCGGGCCGTCCGTCACCATCGCTGATGTCTTATCGGTCCAGACCTTATACCTACCATACATACACAACCCATGCAGACAGACATACGCAGATGAAGACACCGTACGTGTGTGTGTGTGTGTGTGTGTGTGTAGGACACCGAGGCGCAGATCAGCGATACTGTGCCCGAGGACTACCAGCCTCCCGAAGGCGGAGCACAGTTCAAGGCAAGCGACCCGTGTGCGTGTCTGTCCATTGTGTCCATTGTGTCCATTGACTGCACTACATCTGTATGTCTTCTGAGTTGAGTGTCTCTCTTTCTCTTGTGGTGTGTGCAGGTGCTGCCCAAGGTGGACCAGGCCGATGTGTACGATGCCGTCAACGACCACCTGAGGGCAGGCGGATGCATCGGCATATTCCCCGAGGTGAATATATACCTCAACCAACATGCCAACGCGCCGCCGCCTATTCTGCACGGCTGTGTGTCCATGTGCTCAGGGTGGTTCCCACGACCGCACGACGCTTCTGCCGCTGAAGCCAGGGGTGGCCATCATGGCCCTCTCGTCCATCAGTGAGGGCGCCGAGGGCGTCACCATCGTGCCTGTCGGAATCAACTACTTCGAGGTGAGCCGGTCGGCGCTTGAACCAACCCATTGCCTGACAGATTATGGTGGTGTTGACATGGCTGGCTGGCAGGCGCACCGGTTCCGCAGCCAGGCCATCATCGAGATTGGCATGCCCATACAGGCACGCAGCCGTCGGTCGATCAACACATGCATAGAGACGGAGGGGACGCATCTGTGCTATGTGTGTGCTTTTTTGTTCAGCCGGAGGATTCGCTGGTTGAGCGCTACCAGAACGACCAGGAGCGACGCGACGCCGTCAATGAGCTACTCGCTATTGTCGACAAGGTACACACACACCCAGACGATATCATAGCACTGAGGGCATTCTGGTGTGGTGTGTGTTGCTCAGAGTCTGCGTCGAGTGATACTGACGGCCGGCGACTACGAGGAGCAGAAGTGCATCAGACTCTCCGTGGTCAGTCAGCAGGACCTCACCCACTGCACCGCACTCAGACCCTTCTCTCCGTGTGTGTGTGTGTGCAGTCGTTGTATAAGCCCGACCGCACGAAGCTGCCCCGCGAGAGCATGTTCGTCATGAGCCAAATGTAGGCACACACAACACTGCACACGCACACACACACACACACACAGAGACAGAGAGAGAGAGAGAGAGAGGTGTTTGTCTCTGTGTGTGTGTCAGGTTTTCCACTTTGTGGGAGAAGTGCCGCGAGAGCCCCGACATCGACAGCCTCCGGGGGAAGCTCAAGCTGTACGGTCAGTCCAGTCGGTCAACACAGAATGGATGCCGGCCGTGTGTGGCCGTGTGTGTGTGTGACTGGCTGATTGACGAATGCATCAATCACACTGGTGTGTGCCTGCCTGCAGGTGCGAAGCTCAAGGCGTATGGTGTGAGTGACAACCAGGTGTGGCGGCTGCGGGTCAGCCTGTTCTCGTCCATCACAGCACTGCTCTACAGAGTGCTCATTCTCCTACTCAGCGTCACACTGGTCAGTGGGAGGCTGGGAGGGAGGGAGGAAGGGAACCAGCTGACTCGCCTGGACAGACAACCACACTGGACCTGGCACACAGACACGGCACGCGTGTGTGTGTGTGTGTGTGTGGTGCAGGGTGCTCCGTTGATGGTGTTGTGGGGCCCCATATGGATGATCTGCTGGCGGCAGTCCAGCCTGCATCAAGCCAAGGTGGGTACACACACAGCACAGATCGACAAGGGAGCAAGCCCATTGTGTTGTGTTGTGTTGTGTTCGTGCACGTAGGCGTTGAAGGAGTCCAAGGTCAAGATCCGCGCCACCGATGTGCTCGCAAGGTGGGCGGCAGAACCGGCAGGCTGGCTGGCTGCAGACAGGCGCTGCATATGTGTGTGTGTGTGTGTGTGTGTCAGTTACAAGATTTTGGTAGCTTTGGTGATGGTGCCGCTGTTCAACCTCATCTACTCACTCATATTCGGATTCATCTACTTCGAGTGAGTCACTGAGTGAGCGGACGCCGTGCCTTCACACTGTGCTGTGTTGTGTTGTGTTGTGTTGTGTCCGTGTCCATCCATTCTTTGGTCGAATGAATGCAGCAATTGGCACGAGCGGCTGTTGACGGTCATTGTGGGTATGGCCGTACTGCCCTCAGCTTACTATGGTAGGCTTCTCGACTGACAGGGATGCTGTGTGTGCGTGCGTGTGTGACATCTTCTCTCTCTGTCTGTGGTGAACACAGCGAGTCTGCGTCAGATGGAGAAGGTCATTCCCCTCATCAGGTAGGTAGGTGGGTAAACCACAGACCCACCCGCAGCAATCCGACAAACAAACACCGGATCGTTGTCTTGTTGGTCCATGCCACCTGCCTCTCAGGACCATCCGGACGCTGTTTGGGTCTGTTTTAAGAAGGTGGGCAGGGCGAAGGGATGCGCTCGACACCAGCCGACACAGCGCACACATGGATACAGCCGTATGTGTGCTGTGCTGTGTTGTGTTGTGGGATTGTGTTGTCAGTGTCAATTTGTGGCGTGACCAGGAGCGGGAGATCGCCTTCACACGGATGGAGCTCCAAATCACTGTACGCATTAAGCCAACCAACGGCCATGCCTGGTCGTGTATCTGTGTGTGTGTGTGTGTTGTGTGTATAGGTGCGTGACGTAATTCAGCGGCTGGGGCCGTCGGTGTCAGACACCTGGCTAGAACAACTCAACCAAGTCGTCCCAAAGGTGAACGACAAAGCAAAGAGCCAACATCTCCACACACAAATGGATGGATGGATTGGCGACATATTCCATTTGTGTGCTGTGTGTGTGCGTCAGGTGGTGGTGGACGCCGACAGCAAGCGCCTCCACTCCAGAAAAGGTACACACGACACACAGACAGATAAGACGGCACTAGAGTTTCTCCACAGGTGTGTGTGTGTGTGCGTGTGTATTCAGAGGCTTTTGTGCCGAAGCGTGCCCGCACGGCCTACGACAACCGGCAGGAGATCCTCTAAACAGACGCACCCATCCACACGCACACACACACAGACAGACAGACAGACAGACGCACCAGCCAGCGAGCCTGGTTTTATATGTACAGACACACAGATGGACGGATGGATGGATGGATGGACGAGTAGGTAGTAGGCTTCCTTGTGCGTGCGAGTGGTGCGCTTTTTGGTCCAACCCACCCACCTAACCACTCACGGCCTGCACGCCTGTGTGTAGTCTGTCTGCCCATCTTTGTGCGCGTGTGTGCTGTGTGCGATAGGCGTCATCCAGTCATCTCTGTCACTTTATGCCAGCCAATACTGTTTTTCCATCTGTCTCTGTGTGTGGTAGCTTCGTCCTCGACGGGGTGGAGCGAGTTTTGTCGGGGGGAGAGGGACTCACTCACTTACTGCCCCAATTCGTTAGGCCGTTTTGTATCGATCGATCGACCAAGTGGACATGTTAATGGGCCGTGTGTGTCTGTACATTCTACCCCTCCTCTCTGTGTGCATTGACAGACAGGAATGCCTGTCAACATGTCTATCTATCTCACGCCCTCCAGTCACTCGTCTATCTCACTTCCTCCGCCCCCCGCCCCCAGCCTCCCACTGCCAACTCTAGAGGCCGGCACGGGGACGGGCGGTGAGGGCGAGTAACCCGCCAACACACCATTGTCACCGCCGTCATCGGCTACTTTCTCCCCGCCCTGTCCGTCGTCTTTGTCGTCCCCGTCGTCCTTGTCCATCTGCTGCAGCTTTTCCAGACACTCCTTCGACAGCCCCAGACTCTCAAAGGTCGGTGTGGGAGCACGTTGCAGGGGGCTGGGTGGTGCGGGCGATGGGTTGATGGAGCCGAAGGGCGTCGACAGTTTGCTCAGATGGGGCTTGGGCTGGACATGGACCTCCATCGACGGCCGCAGCAACCTGATGCAAGGAAAGAAAGAATGGGTCGGATTTCCTTCAGCCATCCGTTGGTCTCACTTACGCTTCCGGGACGGCGTATTTGCGCCGCGCCAGCTCCTTGGCTATCGTCTTGGCCATGAGCTCATGCTGGATGTTGAGCTTCTTGCACAGATCCGCCAGCTCAGCAGCACCCGCCACAGTGTCGAGCTTCTCCCCGACGCCCTTGAGGGTGTCACGGGCCTCCTCCGCTACTGCTATGTGGCGCTTGATGCCGTCGATGCTCGGAGGCTCCTGGCTGGTGCTGCCGGAAGTCGCCGCCTCGGTGAGCGCTTGTACGTCCGCAGAGAGATCTGCTGTGAACTGCACGAATGCATCGAGGGCCGCGAACGATGAAGGGCGTTCCACGAGGCTCGAGAATGACTCAGACATTATTTCGATTCCCACAGATGCATCCGATTTACAGTCGGCGAGGATAGGGCGAGAAGACGAGACGGCGGCGAGCGTTCCAAATTCGTTCATCCTCTCGCCATCCCAGCCCTTCGCCGACCGAGAGCAGAGGACAGCACCGCAGCTCACCGCTTGCCTTTTTCTGACCGTTTGCGTCACCGTTTGCCTCTCTGCATCACCGTCTGATGCATTCGTGACCCGAGAGCGGTCAGAACTCGCGTTTGGCTGCTCATCGGCATCCCAAGAGCACATCTACGACTGAGGAGGGCATCTCAAATCCCCTGAGGCCGCCTGTGTTGGCAATCCCACCCACCTCTATCGCCACCCCACCCCTTCGCCCACTGAGAGGAGCATACAGTACTGCATCTAGCTTCCGCCCAGCCCGGCTAGGATGGCAGCTGCGGCGGCTCTGCAGAGGGAGATTGACGAGTTTAGGGAGAGGGAGGCCATACATGAGAGGGAGAAGGACCAGCTAAGGGCCGAGAATGAGCAGGTCGCCGGCCTTGACGAAGAAGTCCACCAGCTCAAGAAGGAGCAGGAGAACCAGGCCATCAAGGGCCTCGCCGCCAAGCAGAAAAGGAGCCGCACTGACCACGACCTCTCCCACAAGGCCGGCGCCAAGACCAAGGGCACCACGCCCTTCCTCTATGCCCTCACCATCGGGGCTTTGATATGGAACCGCGCCTTCGCCGAGGTACCCATCTCTCTAGATGACCAAGGGATGCAATGGGCGATTAGTGTACACATGTCGGTGATGTGATGGGTCTCTAATATGTAGATCGACTCGTGGGCGTTCAAGTTCGCCATCTCCAAGCGGCAGTTTTTCGTGGACTTCTTCGGCACCATCATCCAGGGCGGCAAGCACACGCTGGTGAATGTCAGGCAGTCAGTCAGGTGGTTAGTTGGTCAGTAAGAGAGCCTTTTGTAGTGTGTGTGTGCCATGAATGTGCATGCAGGAGGTGGTCTGTGATCGAGGCGCCAAGCCAGACCAAGAGCGGCTCTTCTCTTATGGTGAGCCGTGGTACGTCTGTGCGGCCGTCAAGTACCTAGCTTCAAGAGGCTCATCAAGGTGAACAAGACACAATGTGAGCACCATGTTGTGTCTCCATTGGTGCGTCTGTGTGTACTTGGTGCGTCTCTCAGTTCGTCAAGGTTCTCCTGCTTTCGTTTCATCTCAACGCCATCATGGCCTTCTTTCAGTGGATGACACCATCGTCGAGTACATGTACTTCGCCACCACCAGATGCGGGAACGCCTGCAACTGCATCTGTTGGCTCATCGGACGTGGCAACATCAGAGGAGGGGGCTATCGGACACGGCCGGTGGGTCAAGCTCTCTCTCGTTCGCCGGCCATCTGGCCGAGCACGAGATGCTGGCCCGCGCACTCGCCGAGGCGCAGAACATCATCATCAAGGGCAAGAAGAAGACCTGGAAGCTCATCATCATCATCGTAAGAGGGGAAGCCAGACAGGACGGAAGGCCGGCTCAATCACACCACACCCATAAGTGGATGCTGTGCTGTGTGTGTCCAGATCATTTGGTGCTGTAATGGCATAATCATCATCATATGGATGGCCGAGCTCGGCTACCCGGCTTCGAAGGCGCTGCACACATACATGTGAGTCAGAGACACAGACAGACAGACAGACAGGCACAAAGCAATGAGGATATACTGTGTGCGTTGTGTGTGGTGTCTCTGTTGTTCAGTTAGCATCCCAACCGGCGGCCAGCGGGATTTGCGACATCACGGACCCCCGCAAAGTGTACGAGTGCATCCGCGACACGTACCCCGACGCCCACGCCAAGCGAGTATTGCAACAGCAAGATCTCACACTGGTGTTAAGATCAGACTGGTGTTGCACTGGTACATGAACTGTGTGTGTTGTGGCTTTCAAGGGGCTTCCTAATCGCCGCCGTCCTGCAGGGACTGGGCAGCGCGCCATCCCTCCAGTGGAGTTGGGACGCTGCCATCAAGTTCGTCGTCAAACACGACAACGTTTCCAAGAAAGTGAGCGACTCAGTCACTTCTCAACGAGGAAGGAAGAGACACAGTGATGGATGTCATGGTTGCAGGTCGCAGAGGCCATCGAGAGGGAGCGGCGCGACAAGGGCCAGCCCATGCGGTCATGTACCTCGAGCTCATCATCGATGAGATCCTGGCCCTCATCTCCGCCCCCGTCTCAAGTGGCACCAACAAGATCAAGCCGCTCCTCCCCATCATCGAAGAGATACTCGCCCCTCATCGATGGCGCCAACAAAATCATCAACGAGGACATGATCAAGGCGGTCTTCGGCGACGCCTTCTGGCACCGCCTCAAGGCCAACTCGCGCCGACTCGGGCTGGGTGTGCCTGACGATGTCGACATCGACGCGTATAACCGAGGCCTCATCGACGCCGCCCGCCCGATGCGCCAAGAGGACCTGCAGAAGCGCCCCACCACAGCGGAACTGGAGGCCGAGGTCGCCAAATATGGCGAGGTGCGGGTCCCGCAGGAGAGGGCCGCGGCCAGGGAGGAAAGCACGGGGGGGCGGCGAGCAATCGTTGTCTACATTTTATATCCGATGTCCCTTTGAGTGATGTACATGGTCCATTCAGACAAACATGCGTTGTTGGTTTGTCTGTCCGATTGAATGAATGGACATACAGACACGGACCTACGCACAACAGTGTTTCTCTTCATGCGCCATCCATCCAGCCGTCCACTCCTCGTGTGTGTTGGCAATCCAGCCCTCCACACCACCCACACTCCAATCGTTACACCAATCGGCTATGATAAGCGGACGGCAGGTAGGGGCAAGGCACGCCCAGGAATGACGCCGCCGCCCCTTTCCATCCGTCCATCCATCCGCCACACACACACGTCACGCACTCATTGATGGTGCGATAACTGGCTGAATTCCCCTCGTCTGCGTGTCCCCGTGTCCATCGTTTTCTACGTGCCAAGCCAGCCAGCCAGCCAGCGAGAGAGATATCAACAAGAGGTAGGCAAGTTGTCCAGGTCAAGGCAGTCAGTCAGTCAGCCAGGCAGCCAGCCAGAGAGATATCAGCAAGAGGTGGGCAAATACCCCGCAATCCATGCGTCAGGCAACCGCTTCACACTGTCTGGCCCCTCAACTGACACAAAATCCCACATACTCATCCCTCCCCCCCTGCCCCCAAGAGGCCCACATGCCCGTCACACACGATAACGCCGCCTGCGCTGCCCTCGCCGCCGCCCTCTCAGCCCTCTCGCGGGCCTCACACACGTTGGCAAAGGCCATGCGCACTCCGCGACGAGCCTCCGCGCACCCCTCGAGCAGCCAGCAGTAGTCGGCCGGCACCTCTCCCGTCACCACCCACACATCCCCCTCCCGCCGCCAGTGAGCGCTTTCCCACCCCGTCAGCTCACTGATGTAGTGGCCGTCCTCGCCCTCCCCCCAAGCCGACACCGGCACCAGAAGGCGGTAGGTGTTCGTGTGGGGGTCGATGAGCGTCTCCACGTATGGGTGTGACGGGGGATGCTGTGTGTGCGGCGCGGGGGTCGCCTCAGTGGCAGCCGTGTGGTGGTGCGGGGGGTGGATGGCGTTGTGGGGCGGGGTCGGTTGGGCAGAAGGGGGATGGCAGAAATGGAGTGGCGTGGGGATTTGGGCCAAATTGAAGTAGCCACGCGTGGGCAGAAATGGGATGGAGTTCATGTACGGGAGGAGCTCGAAAACCTGAGGGTGGGTTAAGATACAAAAGAGAAGAGAGAGGGCAAACCGTACAGCAACACACACAGATGAGTGGATTTCGTACACACACTGACTCGGATGTATCTCTCTAACGTACCGGTTTCGGCGGCTCACTGCAGGGGGTGGGGCAATCGGCAGGCGGGCTCTGACCGAGCAGCTTGGCACGCTTGGCCTGTCAGTCAGCGAAATGGACAACACACACAGACAGACACAGAGCGTCAGGACATAGATGGATGTGTGTGCGAGTTGGGATGTCAGCTGTCTGTCGTGGGGCCTCCCTCGGCTCCCTCACTCACTGACGCGGATGTGGTCCACTTCTTTTCTCCACTGGGCCATGGCCTGAGTCCACGTCCTCTCCGACACGTCCTGCACACACAACACAACACAACACAACACAACAGAACACCACACACACACAAGTGTTCAGTCACGTCGACAGACCGTTGCGCATAGAATGTGACATGACAACAGTGTGGGTCACATGTTCGCGGTCGTAGGTGGCCCTCTTGTCGTCGTCCATGAGCGTGTCGCGCGCTTCGTTTATCTCGGCCATGGCGCTGTGGTCGTCCTGGAGGTGCTTGTCGGGGTGCATCTGCACACAGCCCACACAGCACATGCCGCCGGTCAGCATAGCAGTGATTGAATCAGTGCATTCTCACAGACACGCACATATATGGCGCCTCTCTCCACAGACATACGTGCGCATGCATCGTCACGTACACAGCGGCAGCGGATGCATTCCGCCACTGTGTGTGCCTTTCTCCCTCCCTCCCTCCCTCCCTCCCCCCTCTCTCTGCACCATGCCCGCAGCCCCTCTCCGCTCACCTGCAGGAGTCTGCGGTGGGCCTTCTTGATCTCCTGCTTGGTCGCAAAGGGCGGCACCTCCAGCACTACATACGCGTCCAAAATGTAACAACTACGAGACCCAGGAGGCATCTCCTCAAGCTGTGCTGCTGCTGCTGTGCTGCTGCTGCTGCTGCTGCTGCTGTTGCTGCCTATCTCTACTGGCCTGCTGCCAATTCTGTCCGCAAAAACCACTAATCGCGTGCGGCGAGATTTTCGCGATGAGACGGCGAGAAACCCACAAACCCTGATTTTACGGATTTTGAAAGTTTCTTCGCAATTTCCTGCCGCGTTCGGCTGTGCAGCCTTGTTTCAGCCACAGATCCTCCGTTTCTTGTTCTTTTGGGCTGATTTTCGGCTGATGTTGTCCGCCTCGCCTCGTTCCACCCCTCCCAACTCGTCCGGATGTTATGGGCCACCTTTCTCCTCCACCGCCGTGCCCCGGGTGAGACCTCACCTGGCGGTGCCCTGCCTTGTGTGGAGTGGCTGGCGGCCGCCTGGCGTCAGCGGAGTGCGCCCCGTTGTTCTCTCATCAAAAAGGCCTCCGTCAGGTCAGTAGATGTGTGTGGCAGTGTGCGTCATGTCTGTTGACTGTGGTGATGGTGTGAGGTGTGGATGATGTGCAGGAATGAACGCATGATACACTGTGTCGCCGTGTGTGTGCTCGTGTGCCTCCCCTGGTCATGTGTGCGTGTGCAGATTAAATGATGATTTCTTCTGTTGGCTCCCGTCTCTTGTTCTCGACAGATTTCTCAGAAGGTGTGTGAGTGCCTCACTGAGTCTGGTGTTCACCGCACACGTCAATGCCCTTGTTTGCTGCCTTCCAGACATAGGACCCCTTAGTCTGGCGAAGGACAAAGGAGAAACAGACTAATTCAGTGGATTGATCAAGTAAGTCATCGTTGTGTCTTGCAGCTCATCAGGGAGAAGACGCGCTCATGGCCGACAGGAAGGTAGACGATACTTGCGTGGTTCTTTCAGTAGACGACGCCGTCATTCGCCTCCCTCGCGCCGCCGCTGCTGAAGGCTCTTCAGATTGTGACGAACGCTCGAAACTCTCCTTTTTTTGGTTCTTTCTTGGTTTTCAGCTGGTGTAAGGGTGCAGGCGGACATACCAACGGCCGGGTGGCAGGCATACCATCAAGGGCTGGTGACTAAGGAGGCAGGGAGGAAGGGAGGGGGGGAGGGAGGGATGGACAAGGTGCTGTGTTTCATGTTGTGTGCCGTGTGGCTCTGTCTGTGTCAGGATGAGATGCGTGGAAGATGCCATGAGTACGAGATGCTGCGGTGCAAGGACAAGCGCGCAGAATTGGACCGCGAGCTGGTACACAGACCGCCCATCCGTCAGGTCAGTAGATGTGTGTGGCCGTGTGCGTCACATCTGTTGGCTGTGGTGATGGTGTAAGGTGTGGATGATGTGCAGGGCGTTGTATTGGGCGTGTAGCTCCCGTTGAGAGGCCGTTGCAATGCGGCGAGCAAGAGGGAGATAAGTCTAGCTTGTTCATACTACCGGCTTGTTGGACCGATGGAAGCACTGTTCGCCGGGCTCTTTGGGCAAGTCCTTGGGCTGTTTGGACGTGAGGATGGCGATGGCCACGATGGACCCAACAACCAGCAGGTACGTTGTGTGGTTGACGGCGGGGGAGAAGAAGCCATTCATCGATCTTTCTTCTCCCATCTCGATTCGTCAGGCCCGTGACCTCGACCCCAGGCACCATGCCATGTAAGAATGCCATGTGTGCATATCCAAGTACATACAGGATCCTCCTCTTACTCGTCCCTCGGTGTGTGTGTCAGTGTGCCGGTCCACCGTCATCCTGCTGCCCACCTGAACGTCAACAACGACCCCCGACTGATGCAGGGCGTCGGTCCATTCCCGCCATTCTTGGCTGGGCAGCACGGCCCGCCATTCTTCCCCGCCGCAGTGCCACACCAGCTGCACCAGCCAGGGCCCCAGCTGCACCTGGCTGTCCCGCCGCATCACCCGCTCGCTGGCGTGGCTGCACCGTTGACCCGAACCGCAAAGACAAGGTAGGCACGGACGCAAAGTGTGTACTTGGCGGCCTGGCTGGCTGGGCGGATGCGCGGATACTCTGTGTGTGTGTCTGTGTGTCCATCCATCCCCTCAAGTGGAGTTGGGATGCTGCCAGTGTCGACGGGGCCGGTCTCGACAACAGTCTGAGAGACAAGGCGGAGAACGTCATGCCACAGAGCCATGGCCGACGCGAAGCTCGCGTGTTCGGCGCCAGACCCAAGAGACCGGTGAGGCAGAATACATACAGTGCCTCACAATGTTCACCATGTATGTGTGTTGCAGGCCAGCGGGAAGCTCATCATCATCATGATGGTAAGAGGGGAGGAAGACAGGACGAGACATGGGTATCATACCACACTGATGAGGTGGATGTTGTGCTGTTTGTGTCCATGGATGGCCGCCGCACTGCCATGCGCAACGGCCAGCAGCCCAACCACACCTATGCACGCCGCACAGGCGCTAGAGCTGCCATGAATGTATCGTCCAACTGCGGCATCCCCACCACGAACAGCTCCAGCACGCCCACCACTGCCGCCAGCCCACAGGAGGCGCCCAGCAGCCCCGCCGCACCCATCGCCCGGACTCCCGAGCGCCCCGGCACTCCGGAGCCGCACACACCCGAGGCGCCTCGCCCAAGGCGGCCTCTCCTCGAGTGTGTGGAGGAGAGCGATGACGAGTCGGATAATGGGGAGGGGGGTGGGAGTGGGGAGCCGCCGAGGAAGCGGCTGAGGGTTTTGTGCGACATCGTCGAGGGGAGTTTGGTGGCCTGCGTCCATCCCAATGGCGGCTTCGCCCTCATCGAGGAGGAGGCGTACGGTTTCCAAGATGTGCTCATGTTCCCGGAGGGCGTGTCTGAGTGGGGGGTGGTGGACGGGACGGTGCTCGATGAGGAGGGGTATGTGGTGCGGCTGCCCGAGGCCACCCTCAGCCACATGAGGGACCTCTACGGCACCGCCATGACGACGTGAGTGGACACCGAACGCCGACCGAACACATTGATAGTAAGCACACAGACAGAGAGAGGGAGGGAGGGAGGGTGGGAGGCCATGGGAGGGGTGCATTCATTTACTTCTTGTGTGTGTGTGTGTGTGGTCGATGTGTGTGCAGGTGCGTTGCACAAGTTCGGTCGGTGGGCGGTGTCGTCACGTCAGAGTGACTGACTAGCGGTGTTTTGTTGGAGCGAGAGAGCGAGTCGGTCGAGGACTTCCCGGCCGCCGAGTGTGTGGCGGGAACACACGATCCTAGAGAAACAGACAGACAGACACCACTGCAGACAGAGATGGCGTCTGCATCCGCCTATGAGAGAAGGCCACAGGACGACTGTCCGGCTGTGTACCGTCTTGTGGCTGGATGGCTGTCTGTATTTTTTGTCCGCCGTTGTTGGCCTGGCTGTTTGTCTGTCGTCATTTGTGGAGTGTAATGCAGTGCGTCCATCGCACATTTGGACTGTCCTGCATGAGGAGATCGGTTCAGACGGTGCGGGTTTGACGATACATCGGCTGCAGCAGAGGAGGGAGGCGGCGAGCAATCGTTGTCTACATTTTATATCCTGATGTCTCGTTCAGTACCAACCATGCATTGCATTCAGCCAGGGGTGTCCACAGAGGTTGTTGGTTTGTCTGTCCGATCGGATGAATGGACATACAGACACGGACAAACCATATGTCGTCAATGAATGACCATCCACTGCAGTGTCATAGATGGATTGAATGCAATGGTGGGTGTGGGTGGGTGTCAGTATGTTACTAGCCAAACATGACAGACAGACGGACATTGACAAACTTGCTTGCGTCGGTCGGCGGAAGACTGCGTCCATCTCAGTTGATTGATGAAGCTTCTCACGCAGGCCCACATGCAAATGCACCGAGTCCAGAGATATGTACATGGATGGGTGCGTGCATGTGTGTATGTCATAAGAAGGCAGACCGCTGCGTGCCTGACAAGACTGCGTCCATCTCAGTTGATTGATGAAGCTTCTCACGCAGGCCCACATGCAAATGCACCGAGTCCACAGATATGTGCATGGATGGGTGCGTGCATGTGTGTATGTCATAAGAAGGCAGACCGCTGCGTGCCTGACTGGCTTCTTATGACTGACCGTCTGGGCTACTCGCACGTGAAATATCTCTCTCTCTTTCCTCTCTTTCGTCGGCACATGCAACCAGCCATCCGTCCATGCATTCAGTCAGTCAGTCAGAGCCGCAATGCATCCTGCCTAAACACAGTGAGGGTGTAGTGCGGCGCTCGGTGTGAACAATACATGCGGGGGGGTCCTGTGGTTTCGCCGATATGGTATCGCGGAAAATGGATGCCGTGCCTCTGGCAGCTGTCCGCCATCACGCCACGGATGATCTCTCGAAGGACGTCTCGAAAGTCTGGTGGCCACCGATCCCCATCCTCAGTTGGCGGAAGCGAGCTCGCACGAGAACCGCATCGAGGACAGCCCTGAAGAAGGCCACCTTACCCGCCATGCCATCGGAATGCGATCGGAAATCTGCATGCACAGACAGATACAATCCACACAACAACCAATCACTGCTAACGATTTGAATGTGCAGGATTTGCGCAATGATGACGTTGAGCTTTTCGACATGAGCTAGCTCGTCTGCCCTCTTCTCGGCCCAGTTGCGCCAGAAAAGGGCATCCTGGTGCGATCCCGTGTTGTTGATCGTCACGTCAGCCCTCTCGACCCCCGCATCCCCCCCATCGCCCTCAGCAGCTCAAAGGCATGGCCAGGATCACCCTGTAGCTCTGCAGCCCCCTTGTCTTTTCCCCGACCACAGCTTCGGCACCTGACAGGTTGCCAATTATCTTGATCTTGCCCACAGTAATTGGAGGAGATACGCGACGAGCCCCCGTATGGCCGCCGTCGCATCAGCACCATCCCAACCACTCCACTGGTAGATCTCGACAAACGTCTTCCTGTCGGTGCAGAAGATCAGGCTGTTGGCGACACGATGGACTGCAGGTCGGATGGCGCCGTGTCGGTGGTGGTAGTCGAGCAGCTGCTGGGGGCTGAAACAGATCTCCACCTTCCGCGTCCTCCTGGCGAGATGCTGCAGCGTCTCTACGAAGAGAGGGGAGGGGCTATCGGGCACGTCCAGGAGGTCTCGCAGGAAGAAGGTGTCGCTGTGTCCTTGGAGTACGAATGCCGTGGGGGGTGGGGGAGTTCTGAAAGCGACGGGAGGGCCTCCGAGCGCCTTCTGGAAGGACTCCAGCGCGCTGATGGTGGCGAAGAGCGGCCCTCCCATCCATGGCCATGCGATTGCCTTCACGGGACAGAACTCCACACTGAGGCACTCGAACGATCGACACCCGCGTTCCAGCAGCACGCTCTGTACATTAACGGCATCAATCACATTCACGTCAATGAATGTGCCTGCTCGGCTGGTACCTTGAGCCGCGTCAGTCCTGCGTCTTGACTCTCCGTACCGTCGATCAGCAGTGTGCCGATCGATCTCAGGCCGGCCAGCCGCCCCACCAGTCTCCCCCCCTCCCCCACTGCCACCAGTGGGACCATGGACAGGGCATCCGCCAAGGGGTCAGGTTCCATCGTCACCACTAGCTCCTGCAGCCGCTCGGATGTCTGGATGATCTTGCCCAGTGTGGTCATGTCCAGACCGTAGGCCACTCCATGGACGCAATCATGCTCGGTCACCACAGTCTCAGTCACCATCTCGAGAGCAGGCGTCTGCCACTCTCGGTCGGCCATTGCGTTGTGGTCCTTGGCTAGGCCGACGATGCTCCTGACGGCTGGCAGATACGGGGATGGGGTGGAGGGACGGGGCAGCAGCGACAGGGCCTTGTTGATACCCGCTCTCGCCTTTTGCGTAGACTCAGACTCTAGCTCGTCGGGGGGCAACTCATGGTCCTCCCTGAAGCTCTCGCTGTCCTTGTCAGCCTGCTCTATGTCCTCCTCATGGTCCTCGTCTGGCTCGAAGGTGATGCTCTCGAGTGAGCCCTCAGGTATCCGCCCCTCCTCCCGCCGCCCCGCCACCAGTGCTGCCCGCGCCTCTGCGTGGCCCTCCACGATGCCGATGACGACACGAAGACACCATGCCGCCAGCAGGCGGGGATGGCGCACTGTGATGCTCCTGAGGTGCGGCAGCCGTCTGCCCCACTCGTAAGCCGCCGCGAAGGAGAGCTTCTCGAAGAAGGTCGCACTGGCGTCGTCGTGGTCGATGATGAGGTGGGTGTAGTTGGCGGCCAGCACCTCCCACTCTCGAGTGTCGACGGGCGTGAGCGAGGCGCCTGCCGCAGCAGAGAGGAGGTCTAGGGGCAGCAACGCCAACGTCAAAGCCAGCACGTCATACTGAGTGACGAAAGACGGACCCAAGACACACACCGAGCAGATCGAAGGACGAGTTTGGGCGCGTGTCGTGTATCTGCCTGCCTGCCTGCCTGATTGCTTTACGCACGTACCGGTATGGAGGCGAAGGCGAGCAAGGGCTGCCTGAGACCCGGCTGCCTGCCGCTGCCCGACGCCCCCTTGGCCTCGCCCTCGGCCGATCTCTTCACCTGGCCGCCATCTTCTGGCGACGCCCCCACAGAAACAGCCTGAGCAGACATTCATTCCCACAGGCGAATGAGTGTGTATGTGTGCCTTCCCGTGCACGCACACACACCTTCGCCTTGTTGACCAAGATGGCGATCTCCGAAGGGCTACTCTCCTGCACGCAGAGCACCACCGTGACGATCACCACCTAATGTGGTGTGAGCTCTCCTGCTTGGCTGCCGCATACCGCGCGCAGATATAGTGCGATTTTGATCTGGGCTATCTGGATCAGACGGGGGATGTGGAGGTAGCTGGCCGCCTGATGGAGCCAACACGCAGGAGGCAGGCTGGCTGGCTGGTAGTCCGATGGATGGATGGATGGATGGTCTTGTGACACGTGTCACACCACACCCACCTTGATGACATCGCAC